ACAGCAATCCAATTGGGGTTAATTTCGCCGCTCAGTTCTTTTGCTTAAGGATCTAATTTGGCTTTAAAATTTCTTTGGGCAGTCTTTCGCAAAATAGAAAAAATACCTCACCAGATGGACTCACTTTCTCTTTTCACTTCCTTCCTTCCGGAGCGTCTGGATTTCATCAGCCTGGGGGCTGCCTGTTCACTGCCAGCTTGAAGTGCTTCAAGGGACTTTGCAATGTCTCTGAGACCAGCGGGGACTTTGCAATGTCCCTGAGACCAGCAGTCTTCATCTTCCTGATCACTATCTCTATGGGACGATTTAGGTTTCAATGGACCGTCCAGTGGCAAAAGTGTCAACGGCAGTCTCGTGATGTGCCTCCTTCTTCTCAGAAAAATGAAATATCTTTACCTCAGCCTGAATAGAAGAAATTCTTTTAGCAGTGGAAATGGCAAAGTAGAAACGGGTTTCCTTCCAGAAGCAAAACAAAAATAAAAATAGTTCTGTTTAATGTGCCAGATAGAAAATGCTTATGCTAAAGAGAATCAAATTTCCATTGGCTCTATTTAAGTGGAGATAATTTAATACATACTTTATTTGCAGTGGGTATTGTAAAATACAGATCGCAATCAATTCCATTTGCTGATAGCATACAATTAGACCATAAGCTATAAAGTCAAGCTCCAGTTTACATGTCCAAGTCATGACTGAATGCTATCTTTGAAATGGCAAGAATCCTCAGTCCAACTATTGGCAATATTTTATCCAAGTAGTATCCAATTCCCCACCTCTGATTTAGGACTTAATGCCACATTTGTAAAATCTGCTGAGAGTTTTAATAGTCTGTTTTTGTTCTGAGTTTGTATGGAATGGAATGACAGCTCAGTAATAAAATTACTAGGGTGAATAGTAGGTTACTGCTCCCAAATTCCAAGTAAAATGTATGGTTGCTATCCAATGTATGGTTGAAACACTCTATATAAAATTCCCACAACTTAAACATAAAGTTTTATTATCTTTATTTGGCATACTGGAGACCTGTAATAAGGCAAACAATATGTCTGTTAAAACATGTTTGAGACCTCCACAGAATGCCAGCATGGATAGGGTTGGGAAGAGAATAGAATCAATAAATAAATGAAGGACAGTTCACGTTTACGCATGGAAAATGTTTAGTTCAGCAATTTTATACTGATGCATTCCTTATTTTAGTTTTAGACTTCATAAAACACTTCATATTTCTGTAAAATGCCATGACAGCATACAACACAAGGAAGGTGAATGGTAGTGCAGAAATTCAGAAAATCAAATCCGTTCAATTGATTTTTCCAAAGTCAGCAAGTCAGATCGTTGACCCAAGATGTCATCTTAACTTCATTTAGAAGTTAATTCAAATCTTCACATAGTCCCAAAAAAACTTATAGCTGTTGATTGGCACATGCTTCTTGCAACATTCTCAGTTTCATCAACATAAATCATCAAAAGTGAAGAGGACCATTGGCAACTTCCAATTCTTCTCTTCGCTTTTCCTTCTTTCATTAAGGTTTTGTAGAGATGCATGAAATTCCCACTCAATTTACATGCATAAATTTGGTAGGTTTTACATTTGTCAAGAAAAGGAAAAGTTTCACATCCCGTTCTAATAAATAAATAAGCATGTAGGAAAGAATTTAACTGAAAGCAATTATCTTTCTGAAATTGAGGTATCTCTAACCGATCATCAATTTTATTGCAAATAATAACTTATTCTATTGAGAAAATAAAGTGCCAATATTTATTTGTGTTTAGTCCAAGCTAATCTGTGGACTCTATGAATATTTCTGTTATTATGAGTATTTAGTGCTTCAATGTTGTATTGGCTGTTAATGTTTCTAAGCCACCAAAGTCACTTGTAGGTGAGATGGGTGACAAACAAGCCTAATAAATAAATACAATAATTGTCCAAAAGCAATATTGACTTAGATGAATAAAAATTGTAACTTCAACTTGTTACTAATTTTTTTTAAAGGAGAGAAAGTATCCATACAGAAAAGGAGTCACTGAACAACTCATTTCAGGTCCCCTGAACAATACCATAAAGCCTTGGTGGCAAAATACCTAATTATATGAGGAATTTCTGGGAAACAAATTACTCTCTTTCCACATTTAAAAACCCTTGAAAGTGGATCTGAAATCAGCCCAAACATCAATTTGTCTATTCTTAAATGTTCCCAGAAAAACAACAAGGTGGGGGTCAATCTTATCTTTGGAGAAATGATGCTCCAAAAAAGAGGGCGCCATCACAGAGAAGGTGATGTAAAAAAGATGTGGAGACTAGAAAGAGTGCAGAGAAGAGCAACAAAGATTATTAGGGGACTGGCGGCTAATGCTGGGTATGTCTAGTTTAATGAAAAGAAGGACTAGGGGAGACATGATAACAGTGTTCGAATATCTCAGGGGTTGCCACAAAGAAGAGGGAGTCAAGCTATTCTCCAAAGCACCTGAAGGCAAGACAAGAAGCAATGGATGGAAACTAATCAAGGAGAGAAGCAACCTAGAAGTAAGGAGAAATTTCCTGACAGTTAGAACAATTAATAAGTAGAACAACTTGTCTCCAGAAGTGGTAAATGCTCCAACACGGGAAGTTTTTAAAAAGATGTTGGATAATCATTTGTCTGAAGTAGTGTATGGTTTTCTGCCTAAACAAGGGCTTGGACTAGAAGGCCTCCAAGGTCCCTTCCAACTCTGTTATTCTATTCTAAGGCCCTTTTTCTAGGTCCCACCAGATTTACTTTAATTAAAAACTTTTCCTGATCCATAACCCAAGGCAACACAAGAAGGTTTCAAGATGAACTCAGAGAATTGAGAAGCAACACAGTGAGATTCTCCATCTAATGCCATGCTGGATCTTAATCCTCTGCCTTCTGCCTTTACAAGTATCCCTGCTTGTTTCCCATCTTTGAATTGTCCTGCAATTCATTGCTTCATCAAAAAAAAAATAACCTTACAGGAAAGAAGGATAGGTTTTGAAGCTAGAAAGCATATCTTTCTAGCCTCTTTGCTTCAGTGAAGGGAATTACATTGCCTCTGTGGCACAAATCTCTGTCAAAGCAAATCTCTGTTGCCTCTGTAACATAAAGCTTACACCATCTACCTTGTGCCACTTTTCAATTATTAATTTTCTTATTTTGCATGGCTAATTTTAATTTATTTTCATGATTTACAGCATAGCTATTAATATAAAATCTCTTTTTCCATTTATCATATTAATTCCTTTTAATTAGAATGGACTT